TGTGCGCGCGCGCGCGCGCGCGCGTGTGCATGGCAGGGGGACAGCAGGAACAGAAATGATGGAATGCAACTTACAATTTGATTTTGGTTTGGGGGGGTTGGAAGATTTGAGGGTCATCCTTAAACTCTCTAAGGCAAAAACCTCTGTTTGGGCAAGGCATTCAGGAGCACCCACACTAATATTTCTCCATGTGTATGCGTGCACATGCAAAATATTGGTTTTGCAGTTGGGGACATGAGGGTCTAAGGGCAACAAAATGCCCTTAGCAGCTATATGTGGATCACAGGGTGCACTTTTCCTGAGCTTGGAAATTTGACTTCCTCTTTTAACAATAGATCCCTGTCTCAAGTCACAAGATGCTCTGGGGAAGCTTATAGTGCTAGTGGGAGATTGCCATTAACAAAAACCAAAAACCAAGCAAAAACCCTGAAGCTCAAAGCTACCTAGAGTTCATGTGACTAACTGAAAGCAAAATAAAGCATACCATGAACCACAGTCTGACATAAATTTTGTTCATGGTATATTCTGAGACAAAGATTTATCGAAGTGTAATCAACTTGACACTTACCTCCATTCCCAGAAGTTTCAGGGCTTTGGGCTGTAGGCAAAAAAAGAGAAAAGAACAATGTAATGTGTATACTATCTCGTACACATGCATATAATGGTCCGCTGTCTCTAAATATTTGATTACAGCACTGAGACCAAATAAAATTCTGATTCTCTTCTCATTATAGATTCCTATCATATATATCAGCAAACCTCTAGAATCTCTTGTTAGTTCATGGACAGCAGTAATGGACATAGAGACCCGATTCTTCTATTTCACTGTATCTAGAGGAAACCCATGTTTTAGGTGCTGCTTTGGAATATTCTGAATCCTTGCACAATTGGCCAAGAGTAGATTAAATGAAAAATAATTCCCCCCCCTCCTTTTAAGAGGCAGAAATATGGAACGGTGACTGCTTGTGTATGTTTGGGCACTGATTTCCAGCTAGTTAGCTACAATTTACAATTTACATTAGCAGATATTTGGAAAAAGTCATTAGCTTCATTTAGGCATTTCTTTCTGTGATTTGCCATATATTCAGGTAGCCCTATTGTACTTGATTATTCTTTTTGAAGTCTATTAAGTGAGTTTCAGGAAATCTGGCTGGAGTCTTGTGTTCAACATTCATCCATTTGGCAAGGTGTGTTGTTTTTGTTCTCCATAGGTTTAGCCTATGGTTTAATATTTAGAGCTTGAGATATGTATATAAAATTTTTTCTTGATTGTCTAGGGCAGTGGTCCTCAACCTCGGGCCTCCAGATGTTCTTGGACCACAACTTCCAGAAGCCTTCACCGCCACCTCTGCTGGCCAGGATTTCTGGGAGTTGAAGTCCAAGAACATCTGGAGGCCCAAGGTTGGGGACCACTGGTCTAGGGGGTTAGTGTCCATGAAGTGGCTGGTTTGGTACTTACTACCTTATTTCATTCAGTATTTTCTAGAACCAAACTTCTCAACCTTCAATCTGATTTCAGGCCTGTCTATAGGACAGAGACATCTTTGGTTGCCTTGGTGGGTGACCTATGCCAGGAACTGGACAAGGGAAGTGTGTCCCTGTTGGTTCTGCTGGACCTCTCAGCAGCTTTCAATACCATTGATCATGGTATCCTTCTGGGCTGTCTCTCTGGGATGGGGCTCAGAAGCACTGTTTTACAGTGGCTCCAATCCTTCCTGGAGAGGAGAACTCAGAAGGTGGTGCTGGGTGACTCCTGCTCAACGCCTTGGCCATTGGCCTGTGGTGTTCCTCGGGGTTCTGCTCTGTCACCCATGCTTTTTAACATCTGCATCAAACTGCTGGGAGAGGTTGTCCCAAGTTTTGGGGTTCGGTGTCACAAGTATGCTATCTCTCCTTTCCACCTAATTCTAGGGAAGCTGTCTTGACTCTAAACCAGTGTTTGCCATCAATAATGGGCTGGATGAGGGCAAACAAACTGAAACTTAATCCAGACAAGACAGAGGTGCATCTGTCTTCTGACTAACCAGGAGCACCTCTGTCTTGTCTGGATAGGGGTACCACCTGTGCTGGATGGGGTTACACACACCCTGAAAACTCAGGTCTGTAGCTTGGGTGAACTCCTGGATTCATCCCTAAGCTTTCATGCCTAGGTCTTGGCGGCAGCTAGGAGTGCATTTGCAAGCTAAAGCTGGTGTTCCAGGTGCGCCCGTTCCTTGAGATGTTAGATTCCGCTACAGTGACACATGCCTTAGTTACATCCCGTTTGGATTACTGTAACACTATGTGGGGCTGCCGCTGAAGATGGTTCAGAAGTATTCGGGAAGGCTTTCATGGCCAGGATCTAATGGTTGTTGTGGGTTTTTCGGGCTCTTTGGCCATGTTCTGAAGGTTGCTCTTCCTTACGTTTCGCCAGTCTCTGTGGCCGGCATCTTCAGAGGATAGCATTCTATGCTCTGGTGTAGTTTGGGATAGCATTCTGTCCTCTGAAGATGCCGGCCACAGAGACTGGCAAAACGTTAGGAAGAACAACACTCAGAACACGGCCAAAGAGCCCAAAAAACCCACAACAACCAATGGTTTAGAAGCTTCAGCCGATGCAAAACTCTGCAGCCAGACTACTGACTGGGGCCAGCTACAGGGAGTATATAACACACCTGCTACAAGAACTGCACTGGCTACCATTCCATTTCCAGGTCCAATTCAAAGTGCTGATCATTACCCCAAAAGTCCTATACAGCTTGAGTCCAGGCTACCTGAAAGACCATATCTCCCTATAGGCGCCTTCTCGGCAATTAAGATCAGCAGAGGAGGCCCTCCTCTTGTTCCGATTGCCAGTACAAGCACAGCTGATGGGGACACTGGAGAGGGCCTTCTCTGTGGCAACTCCCAGGCTATGGAATGCTCTCCCTTGGGAGATCAGGATGGCCCCGTCCCTTTTATCCTTCCGAAAAAAGTTAAAGACCCATCTCCTCAGGCAGGCTTTTAACAATTACAACTGAATTCCTGAACCCCATTATAGCAGATAATTTTAATCTTGTCCATGCTTTAATGCTTTAATCTTTTAATTTAATTTTAAATCATATATTATTTAATTTGTATTTTAATATTTAAGTTAATATGTTTTTAACTGTGTGATTTTTAATGTTGTGCACTGCTTTGGGTCCCTTGTTGGGAGAAATGTGGCATATAAATAAAAATACTACTGCTACTAATAAAACTAATAATAAAACTAAAACTAATAAAACTAATAAAACTAATAATAATAAAACTAATAAAACTAACAACAACAACAACAACAACAACAACAACAACAACAACAACAACAACAACAACAACAACAACAACAATAATAATAATAATAAAAACTGATTGCATACCTGGAGGGGCAAATAAGATAGTTTTTCAATAAAGTTTTCAGGCAACCAGTAATAACTCTGTATGATTCATTAAGAGCTACATCCACTTGTTTGGCATGTGCTGATGCAAGGATTGAGAAATCATATCTGTGAAGGGCCCGTGGACGCTGTCCCATCCCCTTTGAATCTGTCATTCCTACACTGAGTGGGAAAGTTTGAAAGGGCACTATAGACACATTTCTCTGATGACTGATATACATGTTGCAGACAACCAGATATCAGAAGAGGGAATTTCATAAGCGCAGATTGTGTGTGGTGGTTGTAGCATGAACGTTTCTCACCTTCCTTAGTCTAGTAATGGATTGTCTATAACTCATAAGGCATTTAAAGTGCTGTCTGTGACTAGAAAGCTGGCTTGTGTGCTGAACAGGGAAAACCTTCCCCTCAAATTCTGAGGTACTCTCTCTCGCCTTGGCTCATGAACCATTTTTCCTCATAACTACACGCAATAATACATATCTGGAGAAGAGAACTGAAGCCCTTAATTCTAATGTCTCCCTATCAAGTGATCATTGGGCTGCCTTTTGAAAGGGCCTTTTCTTGCTTTGGTAAAACACACATCATCTTCAGATGGTCTACCCTGCATTTCATGTTTGCTTCCTTGTAGTGAATATTGTTTACTTGCAACTTGCAACTGATGCTTGTGATTATATTGCATGTTCATATTATTGAAGTAGTGCCCAGTTACACTCTAAGCCACATAGCCTAGGAACTATTTTTGTTATGGTCCAAATGGATAACACATTGCTCACCCCATCCCATCCCCTCTTACCTCGTCACCCCATGTTAAGCCTGTGCTTTTATGAAACAGTTTTTAAAAGATCAGCAAGAACACTCCTTACTCTCTTGGGACCAAATAAGTTGTGATACAGGGTTCGGAAGCGTTTTCGAGTATAGTTACAGCGATAAGCTCCTCCCATCAGGTACTCAATCACCAGGCCAATATCAATTAGACTTATCCTATAGTCTGGAGGTAGGTTTCCCTAATTTTTCCAGTTGAATAAAAGACACACAAAACAAGGGAAGGTGGAGAGAAAAAAATCACATTGATTATTATGTCTATAACCTAAACTTTTTTACAACTATATGAGTTTTTAAAAATGAAACAAAATGTTAAGAAAACATACGAATATATTATTATGCTGGTTAATTAATTCACCTTAAAATAGATCCAACCGAAACCTGGATATTCACGCTTGGAAAGAAGACAAATTAAATAAGAAGGTGCATTAAAATATAGCAGTAACAGAAGATAATAAATTTCAGAACACAGGACTCAGGCTCTTCTGAGAAGGAAAACAGGAGACACCACTGCAGAACCAAAAAGCATGTGGGCAAAGCATTTTCTAGAAGATGCAGTGAATCTGCTGGACTCTTGCTGTGGACTGTTTCCTGCGCCAGCCCGAAACAGGCTATCTCCTGTTGAATATGTGTACAGCCTGACAGGCTCCTTGGGGCTGCCTGCCTATCTCTGACAGATCAATAACACAGGGACAGAAGGAACATTGCTCTCTCTCTCTCTCTCTGTAAATATGTGGTGTATAAATGCTTTGAACTCCTGTTTTTGCTCTTTTATTCAATGTACAGTGGTGCCTTGCAAGACGAATTTAATTCGTTCCATGGTTAATGTTGTCTTGCGAAAAATTTGTCTTGTGAAACTCATTTTCCCATAGGAATGCACTGAAATCTAATTAATCCAAAAAAAGTCAGAACAAAGTCAAATTTGGTTTACAAAGGGTTTATTAAGTGCTCTTTAAAGCCATACATATTGTGCAGATGATTTCAAAAATTTCAATAAAAAAACTTTAACTTTTTAAACATCATGGAAAAACATTTAAAAATCTGCAAACATGAGGCAGGAACAAAAAACAGAAAACATTCTTCTTGCGAAGCATGGCCATAGGAACATTTGTCTTGTGAGTCATCAACTCCCCCCCCCCACTGCCAAAACCATTTGTCTTGTGAGGGTTTTTTTGTCCTGGGAGACATTTGTCTTGCGAGGCACCACTGTATTTTAGAGTGTTCAGAATTCTACAAAACAAAGAAAAACAAGGTTCCTTCACAGATTCCATTTTTATTTCCTTGTGGAACAGATGAAGTTTTTATTTACATAGCTAACAATGAAAAGTGAAGAATGTCTGGCTATCGATAGTTTTCTTTATGCTGGCACATGCCATGAACAACAACATATACCAATCAAACAGATAATCCCCAAATGGTTCTGGAGTGTAGCCAGTTATATTGCTATGACCTGATTCTTTAAAACGAACCTATAGGCTAGTGATTCCTCTCCCTCTCTCATGCTCCTTCAGTGTGCTGAGCTTTATAAAGACTTATTTATTTCAATCATGCCTAACACAGCTAGTTTTGTACATGGATTACCATAGCGCCTGGGTGAATTAGTATATCGCCTCATTGTATGAGAGTGAATAAATGAAACAAATGACTTGTTTTATTGGTTGCTTTGGAGTTGTACCAGTAACTCTGAACATGATGCCTTTTGATGTTATCATCATAGGACAACACGGTTCTGTGTTCTGATGGGTTGCATAATGAAAAGCCAGTTGATCCCCTCACCCACAAAGGTATAAAAGCTGATGCTGCCTGCCACCACTGCCTTCTTTTTAATTAACGTATTACCTTAGTACATGTACCTTCACAAATATAAAATGCCACTTGAGGACTATTTTGTGTAATCATGCATTCCATTACCCATCTGGGGCCTTCATGGTAGTCTGGGGCAATGTCTGGGACCCCTTTTCATTTTACATCTGGTACTAGGTATTAATACAGCTAGTTTCTGATCACACACGGAGGCAGTTTGTGTTGTTCTGGCAACTCCTGCGACGTCGTTGGAACTAGTTGTATTGGCTCTTGCCTTTCCACTGGACTATTTCAGTGATGTGGAGGGGGGGATTTACTGCTTGGGTAACAGCCTATCCTCCATATTATTTTACCCAGGCTTCTTGCTCTGGAGAGGACACTCCAGCTCCTCCATACAGAGTACATTACCATAGTCTCTCGAGACTGAAGGATGCCTATGATGATGATGATAAAAGGAGCACCAGTGTAGAATCGGGGGGGAGGGGGGACTTCCAGGGCACCATACTAGAGAAGGCTGATCTGGGTTATGTCCTCAGAGAAGACCATTTGTAAAGGGCCATGTCTTGCTGCCCCTTCAGGAATTCCTGCCTTGTCATGGTGAAGGGGCTTGAGTAATTCAGAGAAGCTATGGGTTATGCTGTGCATAGTGGAGAGTTCTGACTAAATGCGATCCACCTGGAGCAGGAACTGGCAAGCCACTCCAGTATCTTTGCCAAGTAAACTCCATGGACAGAAACAAAAGGCTAAAAGATATGACGCTGGAAGATGAGCCCCTCAGGTCGGAAGGCGTACAACATGCTACTGAGGAAGAGCGGAGGAGAAGTACAAGTAGCTCCAGAGCTAATGAAGTGGTTGGGCCAAAGCCGAAAGGATGCTCACCTGCGGATGCACCTGGAAGTGAAAGGAAAGTCCAATGCTGCAAAGAAAAATACTGCATAGGAACCTGGAATGTAAGATCTATGAACCTTGGTTAGCTGGATGTGGTCAAACAGGAGATGGCAAGAATAGATATTGACATCCTGGGCGTCAGTGAACTAAAATGGATGGGAATGGGTGAATTCAAGTCAGATGATTATCATATCTACTATTGTGGGCAAGAAGCCCGTAGAAGAAATGTCTCACAGTCAACAAAAGAGTGGGAAAAGCTGTAACGGGATATAATCTCAAAAATGATAGAATGATTTCAATACAAATCCAAGGCAGACCTTTCAACATCGTAGTAATCCATGTTTATGCACCAACCACTGATGCTGAAGAGGCTGAAACTGACCAATTCTATGAAGACTTAGGACACCTTCTAGAACTGACACCAAAGAAAGATGTTCTTTTCATTATAGGGGATTGGAATGCTAAAGTAGGGAGTCAAGAGATAAAAGGAACAACAGGAAAGTTTTGTCTTGGAGTTCAAAATGAAGCAGGGCAAAGGCTAATAGAGTTTTGTCAAGAGAACAAACTGGTCATCACAAAGACTCCTTTCCAACAACACAAGAGGCGACTCTACACATGGACATCACCAGATGGGCAATACCGAAATCAGATTGATTATGTTCTCTGCTGCCAAAGATGGAGAAGCTCTATACAGTCAGGAATAACTAGACCTGGAGCTGATTGTGCCTCTGATCATCAGCTTCTTATAGCAAAATCGACCTTAAAGTGAATAAAGTAGGAAAAACCACAGGGCTACTCAGGTATAATCTAAACCAAATTCCATATGAATACACAGTGGAAGTGAAGAACAGATTTAAGAAACTCGATTTGGTGGACGGAGTGACTGAACAATTATGGATGGAGGCTCGTAACATTGTATAGGAGGCAGCAACAAAAACTATTCCAAAGAAAAGGAAATGCAAGAAAGCAAAGTGGCTGTCCAACGAGGCCTTACAAATAGCAAAGAGAAGGGAAACAAAATGCAAGGGTGATAGGGAAAGTTACAAAAAATGGAATGCAGACTTCCAAAGAATAGCAAGGGCAGTCTAGAGGGCCTTCTTAAATGAACAGTGCAAGGATATAGAGGAAAATAATAGAAAAGGAAAAACCAGAGATCTGTTCAAGAAAACTGGAGATGTTAAAGGAACATTTTGTGCAAAGATGGACATGATAAAGGACAAAAATGGTAGGGACCTCGCAGAACCAGAAGGCATCAAGAAGAGTTGGCAAGAATACACAGAAGAATTATACCAGGAAGATCTGGATGTCCCGGACAACCCAGATAGTGTAGTTGCTGGGGTAAAGTAAGCAACATTTAGAAACTGTCACAAGCACCATAGATAATACTTTTAGTATATTTCTAATATACTGTATAATCTTAACTCAGAGACATAACTGGAGTCAAGCACTGTAAAAAAAAATCCATCTCTAGTTATGGACATTAAAAAGAAAAGAAAAGCAAAAATTGAGAAACTGGAAATGCTTATTATATGAACATTAGAGGGCACTGTTTATCCACCAAAACCGCATCCTCCCTCCTTTTGGTTTATTTCAGGGATGATTAAAACATCAGTGTGGCAAAAATAATCATTATAGGTTAAATACATTTCTTGCTTGGTAATTTGAGGCCACTAATATTCATAAATGACAACGACTGTCTTAATTAAGAAAACTAAGGGGAAAATCTAAAAAGATGAGCTGCAATGATTTTTTTTCTTCCACAAACCAATTAGAACAGCATACACATATAGTGGGCAAATACTGTATGGAACTTAAGTTGTTTGGGAACACCTAGTTCTACAACACACATGCCAGTTCTTTTAATGTCAGAAAATTGTTAGTTCCTGTCAAGGCTGTTTTTCCTTTCCCTCTCCATATAGCAACATCTTGTGAGGTTTCATGTTTTTTCTAGTTCTTTAAATGTTGCAAATTCCTCATCACCATAAATGGACTGTACATATTCTCTCATATAAAAAAAAGGCAACAAGGCTACCGCCCATTTGTTATATAGGGGTGGGATTTGCTGTTGATCATGTCAGTTTGGGCTAGTGTAAATACAGAGAATAGTTGGTTGGTTTTGGGATCTGGTTGTGGAGCCAGAACTTGAGAACTTGATTCCTCAACTGGGCCTCCTGTGAGTAGAGCCAGCCTTTCCCAGGGTGCGCCAGAAGAAGGAAGTGGTAAAGCACTTCTGAGTATTCTCTACTTGGAAAACCATGGAACAGTTCGCCGTAAGTCAGAACTGATTGACAGCTCATGATGATTATGAAATACCGAGAACAAGGTTGAGTCTTTGTTTTAAAAAAGCCTTCAGTTTAGATTATATTGTCACCAGTTAGAGTACATTAAATGAATTAGATGGATTTGAATGTCCAAATAAATAATTTGTGTGACTTTAACACATCCACTACTTCCTTACTACAATGTGCTGGCTTTCTAGGTGCAAAAATTTCTTCACCTGACCTTGAGCTTTATAGTGTTTTTCGTTTTTGGCTGTTTAATTTTCAAGTATTTCAAAACACAGAGGCACATATTTAAAATATTAGTCCTGATATTTAAGTTCTTTTTCAGTCGAGCAGACACAGACAGTTTATGCCTGTTGCATGGCACATTATAAGCTTGACATCTTGAGCCGCAGGAGATTACACTAAAATTGAAAAGTTCACTCTGAGGGTTTAAAATGCATTGGAATTAGAACACCTGCTTCAGAATAGTCATCTGTCTCTGCCATGAATGGCAAACCATCTGACAGTCAAAATAACGATACATTTCATTAAGAGGCTATTTTCTAGAATGCTATGTCATTTAAATGGATGTTAGGCTCTTTGATTGATTGAGGAGGAACAATTTTCACAGCTCTACTTTAGGACCACAATAAGCTATCCAGTATCTTGTAGCATAGCAAACCTCTTTCTCACTATTTACAAAATAGAAAGTGTGGTTCCTAATGGGGTATATTTCTTATTAAGGTCAATATAATGTTGCTCTTGGTTTCTGTGCTGATGTCTAAGGGATCTCAGCCAAAGGTGACTCTTCTATTTATAAGGCACACTTCAGATAAGAAGGCATGTGGGCAAACTGATTTAGGTTCATTGCCATTGTCTCACCAGTTCCCATTGTACCTAACAGGGACTGACATTTTTTTAAAAAGAAGAGCTTCAAAATGGAGTGGAGCAGAGGTTGGCTATCTATCCAAAGCAATGAATAGCACAAAAATGATTACATACATAATTGCAAAAACTGTTCTACTTGCTTTCAACTCACAGAGAGGAGAAAGCATTAAATGATGACCTCTGGCACTGAGTCAGGCACCAAGGGTTTTATGATTGTAAACAACCATGAGATTGAAAAGATTTTTCAGATTTTCCAGTTCATAGCTGGTAGCAGCAAGGCACTTCTCAAGAGATTTGTTCTGTCTTCACAAAAAATATTTCTAGTCATTGCCCGGCACCAACATCAGTACTGGTTTATCTGTGAAGATTCTCAGTCATCCAGGTGAGGTTATCTGGAAGTTGAGTCATGCAACTGGAATTCTTTCTTGTTAGGCTGAAACATTTAGCTACTCATCCAAGTAGCTTTTTCAGTCTGAGATTGTTAACAGTCATTAACAGTGGTCTTTCATCTTTCCCTGGAAAGATTAGGACCACACAGACCAGAAAGACTGCTATTAATGGCCATTAACAACACCCTTCATGGATTGCTACCTTGTTGTGGCGAAGGGGCTTGAGTAATTCAGAGAATCTATGGTCTATGCTGTGCAGGGACACCCAAGATGGACAGGTCATAGTGGAGAGTTCCAACTAAACACAATCCACCTGGAGCAGGAACTGGCAAGCCACTCCAGTATCTTTGCCAAGTAAACTCCATGGACAGAAACAAAAGGCTAAAAGATATGACGCTGGAAGATGAGCCCCTCAGGTCGGAAGGCGTACAACATGCTACTGAGGAAGAGCGGAGGAGAAGTACAAGTAGCTCCAGAGCTAATGAAGTGGTTGGGCCAAAGCCGAAAGGATGCTCAGCTGTGGACGTGCCTGGAAGTGAAAGGAAAGTCCAATGCTGCAAAGAAAAATACTGCATAGGAACCTGGAATGTAAGATCTATGAACCATGGTAAGCTGGATGTAGTCAAACAGGAAGTGGCAAGAATAAATATTGACATCCTGGGCACCAGTGAACTAAAATGGACAGGAATGGGTGAATTCAAGTCAGATGATTATCATATCTACTAGTCCATAGTTGCACCACTTTTCCCAACTTAATTTGGTCATGGTTTTATTATTTAATTGCTGGGAGAAAATGGGGTATCTATATTTGTATGGTGAGTGTTGTGTATATTTTAACTTTTTTTGTAGTGGTGTTGTCCAGTTTTACCTTGGGGAAGAGCACCTCATTTCGTTGCACCCACTTGTGAGTGCAATGAGAAATAAATTTCTTATGTCTTATGTCTTATTACTCTCCACAGCTTTTCTATTGATCTAAGCATTCTGTACTCTTCAATGCCAATAAAGGTTTGTATGTATGTACTATTGTGGGCAAGAAGCCCATATAAGGAATGGAGTAGCCCTCTTAGTCAACAAAAGAATGGGAAAAGCTGTAACGGGATATAATCTCAAAAATGATATAATGATTTCAATACAAATCCAAGGCAGACCTTTCAACATCACAATAATTCAAGTTTATGCACCACTGGAAGGACAGATCCTGAAGCAGAGGCTTCAATACTTTGGCCATCTCATGAGAAGAGAAGACTCCCTGGAAAAGACACTGACGTTGGGAAAGTGTGACGGCAAGAGGAGAAGGGGACGACAGAGGATGAGATGGTTGGACAGTGTCATTGAAGTTACCAACATGAATTTAACCCAAATCCAGGAGGCAGTGGAAGACCGGAGGGCCTGGCGTGCTCTGGTCCATGGGGTCACAAATAGTCGGACATGACTAAATGACTGAACAACAATGAACCATAACTATGGGTGGAGAAGGACTGCAGAAGTGGGATTAACTCTCATTCCCAGTCCTTTGTCCATCTAATGAGCCTATTCAGACCAGGTGGAAGTGAAACCAACCTAGAGGATATATCAGAGGTCTCCCACCAATTCTCCTTAGACTGAAGAAGCAACTTGGATGAACAGTGAAATGTTTAAACCTAACAAGATAAGTCCAGTTACCATGACACAGCTTCCAGATCAGCGCTGGTTCTATGGTGAACGTTGGCCTTTCCTCTTTCCAGAGAGTCACTTAGGTCTTAGTACTGAAACCAAAATACTTTTCATTTTGTATTTTGCTTAT